AGCCAAAATTAACTCACTGATTTCGATTCGAGACTTCGATAACGGTCAGACGATAAATGCAACACCGAAAAAAATTTCAACTGTTCAACAAAATAATGGATAGACTGAAATGTGAAAAAGTCAAGAACTAAAACAGGTTATAGGTCCATTAACACCGACTGAAGGTTTGAGCTTATCACATCCAAAGTATTTTAGACTCTTCTATAAAGGAATAAGGCTGAAACACTTTGGAGGGGGTTCTGTAGGCATCTAAAAATGCCTATAGGTTCCTGTATACGGCTCAAGACAAAGAGGAGGTGATAAACATCATCATCCAAGTCGAGAAGATTTATCCGGGTGGCCCGCGTACTCATCGGCCACCGTCAAGTGGCACGTACGCTCATCGACCACCGGAACGGCGAACCAAGCGTCCCGTGCGCTCACCGGCTACCTCCAATTGGCTCGCGCACTCATCAGCCAGTTCTAAGTGGCCCGCGTACTCACCGGCCACCGCCAAGTGGCCCGCATACTCATCGGCCACCGCCAAGTGGCCCGTACGCTCATCGGCCACCGGAATGGTGAACCAAGCGTCCTGTGCGCTCACTGGCCACCTCCAAATTGCTCGCGCACTCATCAGCTAGTTCTAAGTAGCCCGCGTACTCACCGACCACCGCCAAGTAGCCTGTACGCTCATCGACCACCGGAACGGCGAACCAAGCGTCTCGTGTGCTCACCGACAACTTCTAATTGGCCCGCGCACTCATCAGCCAGTTCTAAGTGGTCCGCATACACACCGGCCACCGCCAAGTGACCCATACGCTTATCGGCCACCGTCAAGCGATCCGCGCATTCACGAAACACGCGAAGCGAATCGAGGAAGCGTACCAGTCAGCGAAACAATGAAATACACGTAAACGACGGAACAAGTCAAAACCTGAAAAACCAAGAAAGCCCCTGGCGACCGAGTCACGTCAAAACGACCCGGCCAGGCCAGTGGCTCCGCCCCACCAAATGGCGATTCGGCCTGTTCCGATCTAAAACTAGTTTTTTCGGTTTTTTCACAGATTCTTTCGTGATTTGTTTGTTCCTGAGCGTCCCAACTGATCTGATACTGTGGTTAATCAGTTACTAACTGAAGATAAGGAGGAATCCCTCGTTTTGATCCAAAAACCACTCAACCGGAGCCTATAAAAACGAGCTCGGGTGTTCATTTTTGGAGGGGAAAAAATCAATAGGACGAAGTGCTGTCGAATTGGAGATTGGAGCACGAATTTCAGAGAGTTAGCAGATCTTGGCGGAGTTCCTCAACAAAGTGAGAGTTTGAGAGATCTGAGACTTGTTCTTCCTATTCCTCCGGATTTAAGCTTAGTCTTAAATCTCGAGAAGAGCCGTGATTTCGCTTGGTCGAGATTACCGCTGTTGCGATTACTTCATTCGTGAAGTGAAAGCATTGATTATCCATCTTCTGTCAATCGGATCTGATCCGCGACGGTCCACGGATAACAACGTCCCCGGCACAGGCAAAGATCACAGACAAACAACAGGCGATAAACATCTGTTATGTGTTGTTTGAAGGAATTGTAATCTTATATTTTCATTGTATAAGAAGATCTTATAAAAAGATCGACTTTTTATTTATTTGAGTTTATTGTAACCTTATATTTTCATTGTATAAGAAGATCTTATAAAAAGATCGACTTTTTATTTATTTGAGTTTATTGTAACGGTTAAAGTTGTAATAGATTCGATGACTTATAAAAAGATCGACTTTTTATTTATTTGAGTTTATTGTAACGGTTAAAGTTGTAATAGATTCGATGACAATGAAAATAGCAATTTCTGACCCAAACAAATATAAACCTTAATGAGTTTTAATGTAATTTTCCTTGCTATGTCCAAACAAAAATTCAATGATTTTTTTCTTAAAAAAAAGAAAAATATGCAACAAAAGAGAACCATTATTACTATTCTAGTAAAAGATGCAACCTAGGGAAGGTGATCGGTCATAAGATAGAGTGCAATGCTAGATTTGGTACAAATACAGCAGGGACTATCGATGACGTGATTATTACGTCACTTGCAAGTGGGTACTGAAGGCCTAAAAAATGATAAAAGGCTCTGCAAATAGAGTACTACCGAGCTATCGTTATCTGACCTTAGAAAATTACGGTAGGTTTCAATCCTTATGATTGACTAACATGTGGGCGTCGATACATTTGTTGGGCCCATTTTGTGTGGCTCAAGTGATATCGTCTGGATATTTTTGATCATCGCGATTGCATCTCATCTTCATTCGAGCGTGCCGAGGGCCTCGTGGGACTCGTTTGTTTGTTGATCATTCTCATTGGGTTGAAGAAATAAAGTAGATTTTATGATTTACTTGTAAAAACTAACAGCTGATGATATTTGATGAACTCAGGGGGTGTTTGGTTTCATTGTTTTTGAGAAATGTTTTCTCAAAAAGTACAAACAATGATATTTCTGTAATTAAGAGTTTTCTATAGATTTCCACAAACTGTGTTTGGCTCAAAAAAAATTTACAGAAATGTTTTCTGTAAAGTATAGAAAAGTACCAAAATTTATAGAAATTGATTTCCTTCTAAAATGAGCGGAAATCTCTTAGAAATCTGACGCATTCATTATTTAAATAATAAAACTCATTAACACTTTTCTATAAAGTTCTCACTTTTCTATAAAGTTATGGGTGTTTGGTTACATTTCTATAAATTATAGGAAATGTTGTTATTTTCCCAAAAATTATGAGTAATTTTCTTGTTTTGAACCAAACAAGTACAATATAAAAAATAAGAAAATTTATACTTTTTAACTTCTCAAAACTTTTCCTATAATTTTTTTAAGAAATACAAGTTTTTAACTTCTCAAAACTTTTCCTATAATTTTTTTAAGAAATACAAGAAAATCAAATTTTGGATGGAAAACATTTCCTATAATTTATAGAAAAATACAAGAAAATCAAATTTTGGATGGAAAACATTTCCTATAATTTATAGAAATGTAACCAAACACCCCTCATTGTAAATTAGCGGTCTATTCACATCCCAAATGTTAAAGCGAAGCACAGCACTATTACTATAGAAATTGATAGTGATACCAGAGCAACCAGAATAGCTTTGTCAATACACTTCTCAACTACTCCAAAATGTGATCTACATGTTTTTTGTTCAGTCCGTTCCTTTTCACATGAATCCGTCTATCACAAGTTTTTATCTACTTTTAAGGGCTGTTTGTTTGGTTGGCAAAAAAAAAAATAAAATAAAATAAAATAAAATAAAATAAAATAAAGGTATAGTAGAAAGCCTATTTCCTACAACTCTTTTTTTCCCCCTTATTTGGTTCACATCTTGAAATCAAAATAGAATGGTGGGATGACACCCTACCTTTGGTTGATGTGAACTGCATTTGAAAAAACTTAATTCATGGATTTTTATATGGTAACAGGAGAAATCACCAAAGATGATTTCCTTCCCCTTATTTTTACTTTTTACTTTCATTAATGCCTCAAGGACCCAAATAGGGGACTCAAAACATGGGACATGTGAGGTGTCACCATCCGGTTACATGATGCACTATTCATGAATAGTATATCATGCAACCGGATGGTGACACCCTTTTATTTTATGGTTTTCAAGAAATCAACCGAACATGCCCTTAATAGGAAATTTCATCTTATGCACCGTCCGTGCAATAGATCAAGTTAACCCCCTTACAAATGAAGAGAACATCTAGAACTCCTAACCGTCCTCACTTGGGAATATGCTCCCACTGTGTACATTCAAAAGATTTAAGGCTCTAGAGATTTTATATGTTTTAGTAGCGGGTTTTAATTATTTAATTTGGTAAGTTTTTATAATCTCTCCTAACGGTTTTGATGTTAAAAATTTCTCCAATAGACATTTTAGTATTAAATAAAAGTACGATGTCATTAGCCATTTTTTTCACGATTCATCTGATATAATAAATAGATTAGAAATATAAAAGCGTATGGAAACTGTTTTGCCTTTCTATATCAAAAAAAAAAAAAGTATAGCTAAATAAACAACCGTTTCACCTTTTACAAGTAATTACTTTACAACCATGCTCGATCCTAAATTGCGTAATGCACCTGTAAACATTTTTATCCGTTCGAAATAAAATATCAAAGAGCAAAAAGTAACGAAGTGAGAAGACGTGACAAAACGTCATTTTCTTGTTTCATATGGCTTCGCCGAGTATCTTACCTCATGCCCCCATCTATATCCATACCGTGCATCATATTTGCCCTAACACGTGTGAGATGTAGATAACCAACCAAACCTACTGCATAAATTCTTTTTTACCAACAACTAACTAATAGTTTTAATAACCACAGTAATAAATGAACCACTGTATCCAAACAGGAACCAAAATAAACCAGCAGAGTACAAACAACCTCCCATTCCTCATTGTATCCCTTTTGACTACAAACCCCCCTAAACAAATTTATTGCATCTACCGCGTGTCTCAATCCTATAAAGCAACCACGTTCTCAATACGTGAGGCTCATCCAAACCACAACAGCTCATGTCCACTGGGCCCGTGTCCTGAACTAACTGACAAGATTGTTAGCCCTTGTTGGGGATACTAAATAGTTAAATAAATTTCTCATCCCATGCTAAAGATTTTATCCTTCCCAGAATGCCCCTAAAGCATGAGAACACGAGCTCCTCCCGGCAAGTCACGTGCATGCCGTCTCTCTCACAAGCAGCAGACAAAAGTAGGGTAAGTATCAGAGATCCCCCTAACTTTGGGCGATTTGGAAAACCCTCCTATCTTACGAAATATCACGCAAACCCCTCAAAACCCCCTTTTAACTTTCAGATTTTATAGGAGAAAACTCCTAAAATTAGAGGATTTTCTAATAAAATCTCAAAATTAGAGGTGATTTTTTCATAACCCTTAAAGTTAAGGGGGTTTTATGATATTTTGAAAGCGGGGATTTTATGATATTTAGCCGACGAAAATAATATTACATCTCGGAAACATTAATGAGATCACGACGGATTTGAGGATTTTCCAAACTCTGTTCAGATAATGTAACAGAAGATTCGTACAAAAAAGAAACCAAAAAATTATTATACAAAACTTTAATTAATTACGGTAATTAAGAAATTTAATTAACCCGAGGAGACGGGATTAAGGGTTCGAGCAAACCCATTCATAGCGCCGTAACTCCTCGAGCTAAACCCTAGGCAACCGAGCAGTCCCTGACGGTAAGGGAGAAACGTCCGTTTCCTCATCTCCTCCGCCTGCGCTCGCTTCGCCGTGTAATGCCTCTCGTGCGCAGACGGTAACGGCCCTCGACGTTTTCCAACGCCGTTAGTCGGTTTCTTTAACGTCTTCGCTGGAGACTTAACGGCGTCTTTAACCTTTGACGGAGTGAAGGAGATCGAGTTCCAGAATTTTTCTTTTTCCTTCTCCTTTTCTTTCTCTTTAGCGTTGGTTCTTCCTCCACCTTCGCTTTTACTTCTGTAGAGAAAATCTTTCAGAAAGATCCAGCGCTTCGAGTTTCGGACGGAGGACGATGATCTCGAGGATGAGGCTGAGGAATCCGACGGCGTCACGGTTTCGCTCTCTTTTGTCGGATCTAGATCAAGATCTGGATCCGCTTCGAGATCCTTCTTCTCCTCTTCCTCCTCTTCGTCCTGCCACTGGAACCTCGAGTTCCTCATCGGCGACATGGATCTAGCTCGCCGATGCATGGATCGACTCCTTAACCTCACCTCTCGACTTCGTCCGCTCATTTCCCCCTCTCTTGCCTCGTCTTCGTCTTCTTCGTTCAGATCTAGAAGCGGAGCGAGGTGCTGAGGACGCTGGAGATGGGACGAGAGCTTCATCGGCCGGATCTTGCCGTCGAGGAACAACTCGTCGGCGGATATCATCGATCCGCTGGGATTCGCGCC